AAGGAAAAAAAAAAGATGAAGAAAAAATCATGTTATCTCGCAAACTACGCGATGTTGTACCTTGGCCAAGAACCCTGAGAATCACAAGGAGACGATTTCCGGCTAAACGAGAATATAAATATATAAGCGAGATAATAAATAAATAAATAAATAAATAAGTTAATAAATGTGTAGAGGATTTTGTTGAGAAAATCTACGAGGGTGGTGATACTCGAAAGAGTATAGTTTTCGTGCAGATAGCGCAAGAATTATGGCTTGGTCGCCGGTGGAACCAGCCGAAGACCAACCCTGGAGACCGACCCTGGATACAGACCCTGGAGATCGACCCTGGAGACTGCCAGAAGAAAGGGGCAAGGGGACGGTTTAAATCCTCCTCGGTTTCTGCCCTTACAACTCCGTAATTTTTAGCCCTCAGAAAAGTTAAGAGTAATTTACTAGCTCCGCGTAGGCGTTATTCGCTCTTATTCCCTGGCTCTTTGTGTCTACTATGTTCTTCTATCTTTCTTTTTTCCTTTCTCTCTTATACATACTTTCCATTCGTTCTTTCTCTCCCTCTTTCTCTCCCTCTTTCTCTCCCTCTTTCTCTCCCTCTTTCTCTCCCTCTTTCTCTCCCTTTTTTCTTTTTCTTCCGTCGACGACGTGAGAGGATAGAAACGAAGCTTCGCTCCTCTTGTTAATTGTTCTACCTCTGATGAACTTGATTTTCAACAAGAAAAAGATAGCATTCGTCCAGATAAATGCTGACAATATCGTAACGAAGATAGTTAAGTTATTTATTCTTCGTTCTCGCTCGAATTAGCAAGTATTCCTACTGCCGGGAAAACGCTTTCTTTCGACTCGACTATCCTATGCAAACTCTTTCTTTCTGCTTACCCTTTTTCGTCTTCAAACTGACGTATCTCGTATCGTTTATTAATATCACATACTTCCTTAATACACACTGTTAATTAAATTCTAAAGGCTCGTCAAATTAAACTACAAATATTACGGATAGTTTTGAATTATTGTTATTTAACAACTTTTCTTCTCTCTCTCTCTCTCTCTCTTGTTTCGCTTTTAATTTCGTTAGAAAAAACATTTGAACGTAATCAACGTACGCTTCTTAATAAATTCTTTCATTTCCAATATTTCAGCCTATCGTTTTATCAAATATCGATGAGTCAAATAATTTCTAAACTCCATTTCTCTAATTGCAAGGAACAACGAGGAACAACGAGGAATTAACGAATAGAATAAAATAAAATGAAGCAATAAAAGCTCGTGAAAGATATTATAAATGTATTTACTTGCACTTGAACTGTCTTACCCCATACAAGTGTGTCTCCTTTGTTCTTTGTGCTTGAACTGTGATGCTTGTTGTTCTTTCGGTCTTTTGAAATAACATCTATATGTCGTTCTCAAGCATGCTTGGTAAATTTTGTTAGTCAAAGTAAGCATTCTCCAAGTTTTGACGGATCAGTGGACGAATTTGCTTTGTTTAATGGAATCGTATCTTTTTGAAAACTTAATCTTTCAGACAAACTTAAACTACTTTATTCTAGTTCTCGTTGATCAAGATTTATCCTTAAATTACGCTTTCTCAATGAATTTTGCGATATCAAAGTATATATCATACCGTAAATTGGAACATTGAATGAACAATAATAAAATTTAACTTGTAATTTTACGATAATCGATGAATTTAATATCTACCGCGATAATTCGCATTATCACTTGTCAACTCTATTAGCGACAAAAGTTAAAAGCGTTTAATCGGTTTGAAAATAGGATATGTATTATATAATATTTGGAATGGAAATTCGATGACCTTTTTGCCAGGAATTCATTTATTTCGAGAAAGGGAATCCTATTTCGGTTTGACGCGAGGATTAGCCACGCTACTGCTAAAAACGTTTGACCGTTCATGTGCAAATAATAATATTCTTTCGCGTCTTATTGTTATATCGGTAAAGATGCCGGTAAAGAAGCCGGTAAAGAAGCCGGTAAAGAAGCCGGTAAAGANGCCGGTAAAGAAGCCGGTAAAGAAGCCGGTAAAGAAGCCGGTAAAGATGCCAGTTCGTTTCTTCTTCTTTTATATTTGACGTTTTTTTACGGCTCTCGCCTTTTGAAGCCGAGCGTAAGGTCTGAAAAGCTGAAATTGCGAATTCGCAAAGGTAGCGAAGGAAGGTAGTTTCCACGAGGTTGGCCATAGCTAACGCTATGGTGGTTTCTCGGTGATTTCTCGGTGGTGGTAATGTTCATACCAATGCCGATGCCAATGCCAGTGGTTGTGCCAGTGCCGGTGGTTGTGCCGGTGCCGGTGGTTGTGCCGGTGCCGGTGGTTGTGCTAGTGGTTATACAACGAGACAAAGCCGCCCCTTGTTTTCTCGTACACAGAGAACGAGGTAGACTTCCGGTAGACTAGGAATATCTTTCTCCTTCTTTCTCTTTCTCATTTCTCTTTCTCATTTCTCCAAGCTTACGGGAAGCTTGTTATATTTAAGCAGAGTGCTACTGTTATAAGTATCAACGTTACGCGCTTTCTCGTCTATGCAGATGATGAGAAGAGTTTCGCGACGGCAACGAAATTATCTTCCCCTTTTATCTTAGACTTAAGCTACCTTCCATTACGAATTATATTTTAATTGATATTCATCCACCACCTTGATTGCTTTTCCTTTCGTCTGCTAATCGTGTTTTCGAGCACTCCAATACTTTTTACCTCATCCTATTTTTCCTTTTATTTTATATTTAGATGAAAATGTCCATTCCTATTCTATTATTATATCACATTGTTTTATCTTACTATTAGTTTTCTTAATTATGTCAAATAATGATTAATCAAATATATCGAGAAAACAATAGCAGCGTAAAGTATGAATGTAACAAAGTTCAATTCGTAGATGGTTTATTATCAAATTTATACGGCATTTATGCGAGCACGGTATTCATATTTTAAAACAACAATTTCTAACGAGAGTCGAGAAAATGTTTGAAAGAATTAAAGCCATTTGTGTCGGATTTAAGATAAAACTTACCGTCTAAGGGATGATGAAGTCGATAATAAAAGGATTGACACGAGTGTATTGTAAATATCATTTATTGGACTTTTAGGCGTCATCGAGTACAACGAATACATCACGTTGCTTACTTAGAACACCTTACGCATTAATAAAATTGTGTTTCGTCGTTTAAGATTAGAAAAAAGAAACAGTCAATGAAAAGAAAAAGAAAAAGAAAAACATCAGGTATTTCATTTTGTCTATAGGAGGTATACACCGACGCCGCGTATTGGCTATCGTGCAAATTTTTCATTTCGCGAATCGGATTAAATATTCGTCGGTGATGAAAATGATATATACCTATATATATATATAATATAATATATATATATATTTATATAACTGCACTTTTAAAAATTAGGAACCGCAGAACTCGTGGAAAGTTCGCGCAACAAAGCGAACGAATTCGTTAGAAAGGAGAGAGAATGTGAGAGGGTTAGAAAAGGAATGAAAAGGAAAAAGAGAGAATTATTTAAGAGACAGAGAGAGGGAGAGGGAGAGAGGAGAGAGATAGACAAAAAGATAGCGAGGGAAAGAGAGGAAGAGAGTTAAGAGTGGATCGAACGGCGAGTAAGTTACGCCAAACTTTTCCTACTAGTAGAAGAGATCAAACAATGGTAACGACAATGTTACCCGATTCTGCAGTAATGGTAACTATCGTTAACTTCGATTTCGAATATTCATCCGGAGGATGGGAACGAACTTAGAGGGACGCTACGTTTTACCACGTAGATAAACGTTTTTCTCTTGGGGAGGAACTTCTAAATCGAGAATGGCCGTCGCTTTTCCTCTCTTCCATCCCATTTTAACTTTTATTACCTCCTCTATGAATGAAAACGAACGAACGAACGAACGAACGAACGAACGAACGAACGAACGAACGAACGAACGAACGAACGAACGAACGAACGAACGAACGAACGAACGAAC